AGGCAAGGGGGCCAGGGAGGCACATCAGGGAGCATCAGGTTCCCGTGGGGAGGCCTCTCAGCGTGGCCGCCCCGGGCCAGGTAGGCTGGGGGGTCTGGGCACCCAGGCGGGCCCCTGCCTCTCCCTGCTCTGGCCTGGCCTGCCCACCAGGGCTGCCCTTGGGGGTCTGCAGGGCGGTACAGGCCGAGGCAGCCGGCTGCAAACTTCAGGGCCCTGGTCATGGGGAACGCTCACATGCCCACAGAGCACTGAGAAGGGAGCCTTCGTCCCACCCACACACAAAATTCCCGGGCCCGCAGGCACCAAGCGAGACCCCGACCCTCCCTTCACCACATGTACCCTTCACACCGAGTGAATCAGTAAGTAAGTTTGTTACTGTCTGTCCCTGGTTATTGACCGCGAGCCTGAGTCTCACAGAAGTGAAGCAGCAAGGTCAGCGTCACAGAGTGAAAGCACTGCCCGCCCCGATGTCCCAGGGGCCGCCCGAGACCCCACCCCCCAGCCCCAACACCCGAGGATCAGGGAACCCTCAGACGCCCCTGAATAACGACATGGAACAGCATGACTGGAGCCACACCCTCTCCAGCCCGAGCCCACGGAGGAAAGAAAGCGAGTGGGCGCGGAGCAAAACAAACGGCGGCACTGGTGGGACGGGGGTCTCTCCACGCTGGCCGCTCAGCCTCCCCTAGGGAGGCGCACAGCTGTCCCCCCCCACCCCCTCACCCCCACCCCCGCTGCCATCAGCCCCTGTACGTGCCGTGCACGCCCCTCCAGGGACATGGGCTCACCTGGCAATTAATTCCAGGAAAAGCCACAACCCACCCACCCCCTCCCCCGGCTCACACTGGAACCTCCGGGGAGCAGCCGGCCAGGAAGCCGGGTCCCACTCGGCTCATTTAGAAGGAGCCCGGGGTGGGACCCGTCTGCCGCACCGCCTCCGGTGCGCTCGCACCGAACGCTCCAACCGCTTCTCTGTCTGCCCCCGGGGAAGCCCCAGGAGCCCCGAGGAAACTGTGTCACGGCTTCAAACCGGGGGGAGGGGAGAAAGAGCTGCTGGCCTGGGCCTCCGGTGTTCACGCCCAGAAATGCAGCAGTGTGACAGTGCAGGGGACGGCGCCGCTCGGGTCCCCTCCCCCCCAGCCCCACTCTCACTCCGAATGGCATTTATTTATAGAGGCCTCAACACCCAGGCACCCGATGGCCAAGTCATCCCCAGCCTGTGGCTCTCGGCAGCGCAGCACCTGGGTCTCTGGGGACCTTTCGACATCTGGTTTCTTCTCCGGAGAACTGTTCGTGAGGGGAGGGGGGTGGGAGCCCAGCCACACGTCAGATGCAGGGCTGCAAATCCCTGACTGATGCTGAGCAGTGAGTGGATGCTCAGAGCATCCGCCTCCCGGGCTCCCTCCCCGCGGGACCCACACCCGCCTGGCCCCGACCCTGCCTGGTGGGCTGACCTCCTGCAAACACAGCTGAACCTCAGGGCTTGCAAGGAGGCAAGGATGGGAGGGACTGAAGTCTGGGGGGTGGGGGGAGTTTACAGTCACCAAGCCCCAGACTGGATGCGCCAAGCCCCGAGCAGCAAAAACAGGAGGACACGGCTGGTTTCGGGAGAAAGGGGGGTTGGCTTTCATCCTCAGATGCCAACCAAGTCTGCATGGGGTGTTGAGCAGGCCCTTGCCCTCAGTGAGGAGCCGGTGGGGCCGGCATGGGCCCCTCACCCCACCCCCGTCCAGCGGGGGAGGCGGGAACAGCGAGGAGGCCTGGGAGGGGCAGGGCACTGGGGGACACTCCAGCCAGGTGCAGAGGCAGGGAGCAGGTGGCAGGTGGGGCAGGACAGGGAGGTGGCTGGGAGCCCCTGCAAGGCGGCGTCCCTGCAATTAGCCAGGCGGTGAGGACCCGCCCAGGTACGGATGACACACTCAGACTCGGCGTGGGGACAGCCAACTGCACTTCCTTGTGCACATAAAACCCGCGGTGGGGTGACTGTTGACCGAAGGATCCTCAAGGAAGGCGGCTCTGGGGTGCCGCCCCCGCCCCCGGGGTGCTGGGGACGCGCCTTTTGCCGGCCCTGGGGAGGACCGACTCCCTCGTGCCCGGGGCACGTGGCATGAGGAGAAAACCAGCGTCACCCGAGTGCACAGCAGGAGCCCCGTGCCGGGCGCTGAGGCTCGTGAGAAAGAGGCCGTGGGGCTGGGGAACACCCGGGTCAAGGGTCCCAGCCCCAGTAGACCCCCCAAAACAAGCCCGGGACTTGGTTTCCCCTATGACACCACAAGGGACCTGTCCTCAGCCTGTGCTTACAAAGGGGCCTCGGCAGACTGCCACCCCCCCGCCCCGGGCAGATGCCCACACCTTAACCCCCAGGACCTGTGACAACACGACCTCGCACGTCAAGGGCCGGCCCTGCGATTAAGGTGGGAGGTTGGCCTGACCACCCAGGTGGGTCCCACCCGGATGCCCTCCCCAGCTGGGGTCGGTGGGAGACACGCCTGGGGAGAAGGGCCAGAGCGGCGTGCGGTGGCTGGCTCTGCAGGTGGGGCGGGGCCGGTCGCCGGGGAGCCGGTGGCCTCTCCCCCAGGGCCTCGGAGAGAGCGTGGCCCTGCTGATTCCAGCCCTCGCAGCACGGGGCTGGGAGGGCCCTAGCAACTGACTGGATACCCAACCTGTGTCCATTGGCACAGAGCAGGTAGCCTGTGGGGACAGAGGGAGGGAGCCGGTGACCATACACTGAGGCCAGGTCCATGCTCAGCCTCCCTCCTCCCAGCAAACTGGTCCCCTGATGAAAGCCCCCAGTAAACAAGGCTCAAGAGACAGACAGCCCAAGCCAAACCCAGGCGGAAAGGCGGGGGAAGGAAGGAAGGAGGGAGGGAAGGAGGGAGGGAGGGAGGGAGGGAAGAGAGGGAGGAAAGAAGGAAGGAAGAAGGAAGGAAGGAAGGAAGGAAGGAAGGAAGGAAGGAAGGAAGGAAGGAAAGGAAAGGAAGGAAAGGAAAAGAAGGAGGGAGGAAGGGAGGAGAAATGAGTCCAGCCTGCACACACCCAGGCCACACCCAGGCCCAGGCCCACACAAAGGGCATCCTTGGTCACCTGATCTGAATCCTGCAAGGGTAGTAGCAACACCCGGAGCTGGGGGGCCAGGCGAGAGGCTCAGGGAAGGGCAAAGCTTCCCCCAGGCCAGAGGAGTCTGCGTCCCCAGAGTCCGCCCCTAGCGCACCAGGCTGGGACCCCTCGCAGCTGAGACAGGGAAGGGTGGGTAGGCAGAACCCGGGCTACCGCCTAGGTGTGCCGTCATCTTGCCCTCTGACCCGACCCCTGAGAAAGCTGACACCTGCGTGTCCAGCTGAGGTCATCGTGGGGACGGAGAGGCTGGCTCCAGTGAGTCAGGTCCCCCAGGCTAGCAGGGGGGAGGCGGGCAGAGTCTGCCCCCGCCCTGCAGAGGGCACCTGGGTGTGGAGTCAGCAGGTCTGGCCGCATGTGCCGGACGGGAGTGTCCCCACCAGAGCCTCAGCGTCCCCTCGGTCCAGTGAGGACACACCAGGCCCCTGCAGAAGAGCACGACAGGGTGGCAGACATCGGCTGTGCTGGGGGCCGGTGTCTGGGATTCGGGGGGCTGCCGGCTCGCCCGGCTGCGTCCCTGTCCTGCGGTCCCTTGCGTCTTCCCCTGAATGCCCCTCAGGCCAGGGTTACCTTTCGCCCAGTCAATCCAGCTGAGACTGTCCTTTGGACCCACAGGTCCCTGAGCCCCTTTCCGGGGCTCAAAGGTCACCTAACTCCCTCAGGCAGGGCTTGGGGCCCTTCACTTCCCGTCGTGACACAGTGGGAGCCCCAGATAGCACCGACAGGCCGGAAGTCTGCTTTCCTGCCGGCCAGGCACTTGGTCACCCCCGCCACTGAGGATGGGCCGGGGGTACGATTTTCACGGCAGAAGGACCCAGAGCCAGAGTAGGAGGTCAGCAAGGGAGCCTGGGGGCCACCGGGTCCCTCCGTGGCTCCCGCTGTGTGACCTCGCACCAGTGACCGAACAGCCCTGAGCCTCCCTGAGCCGAGGGAGCATTTGGGAGCACCCAGGCCAGGCCCCAGCAGCTCGGGAATTTGGGTGGGGGAGAGCATGTAGCCCTTCTTTCACAGGTCCTTCCAGAACCTTCACAAGCCCAAGCACTTGAGCAGGGTGCCCCTCGGGGCCCTCAGCTGCCACTGCTGCCCGAGGGTTCCTGCTCTATGGGCTGTCCCTGCTTCTCCTCCGCCCACACTCCCTGGGGGCGGCCCTCAGCCTCGCCCCACCCCCACTGTCCTCTGAAGGTGCCAGAGGTTGTCCCCACACACACAGAGCTCCCCGCGGTGCCTCTGGCCAAGCCTCCACTGCTGGGGGACACCCAGCCCCCACCCCCAAGCGGGGAGCCCCACACCTGAGTGGGCTGGGCCCAGAGCCACGAGCACTTCTCTGCTGGGCCTGGGCGCCCCCTCCGAGTCCCTGCAGGGCTGGGCCCTGGAGAAGGGGGGCCACCCTCACGACCCCGCTCACCGCCCTCCCACCTTGGAGCCCTGCGCCGGGACAGAGCAGGGACCCTGAGCCCTGTCCCCAGGATCAAACCCCGCCTCAGGCTCCGAGAGGCGAGGCCAGAGAACTGGCCCTTGTAAAGGGCACATGGATACCTGTGGGCAGGTGTGGTGTTGGTGTACCAGGGGCCCGGTCTCAAAGTCACCCCGCCGCCACCTGCCGTGTGACGCTGGGCAGGTCCCCTGCCGTCTCTGGGGCCCAGAACAGTCCTCGGTCCAGTGAGGTGCCGTGGAGAGCCTCCAAGGTGGGCCCCGGTGGGCGTGGCGGACACCGGCGGGTGGTGGGCACAGCGGGCACACGTCCGTCACCGCGGCACCCCACCACACCTGCCCAGCGCGGCTGTGTTTCTTTAAGAGAAATATGAACGAGAACAGACCCGGAGGCCGGCAGGGCCGGTGCCAGGATGAGGTCACCGTTCGGCTCCCAGCGAGAACAAACAGGCCTGGGTCCCGTCGAGGAGCAGCGGCTGGAGGAGCGCCACGGGGACCTGAGGGCCACGGGGCGGCGGGGGGGCGACCGGGAGCCGCCGGGTCTCACCGCCCCCACGGGTGACGGGCGCTGGCCGGCCACCCGGAACTGCCCCACGGCCAACTCCTGGCCCCAGCGGAGGCAGCACAAGGCCTGGGCGGGGACCCCACGGGGGCTGCGGGGGTTGGGAAACAGGGCCTGAAAGGGTGGCCTGTCCCGACCTTTCCTTCGAACGTCGGGGTGAAGCGGGGACCCCGAGGTGCTCACCAGCCCCGCCCAAGGTCGGTCGGGGGCCCGGCTGGGAGGAGGGCAGGAGCCCTGCCCCGGGGCCTGCGTGGCCCCAGGAGGGTTCACGGCAAACCCTCCACGCTTCTCCTCCAGGTGCACGGCAGCTGCTCGCCCGGGCAAAGTGACAACGCCGATGATAAGGACGGCCCGGGGTCACACCCCCACAGATAAAACAAGACGCCTCACGCCTGCACCCATGAGGAAAAAAGCCACGTGCTCACACAGGCCGGTGAGGGCGGGGGGGTGGGGGGAGGGTGCACAGTGCCGAGGGCCAGGCGTCCAGGGCCAGAGGACAACAGGCAGTCCCCATCGGCCGGGGGAGCTGACCCAGCTGGGGGGCAGCTGGGGGGCCCCGGGAGGCAGCCCACCTGCATAGTCTCAAAGTGCCCCCCCCCCGCCAGGTTACTGAATAACGACAGGGAGGTGCCACCTCACAGTGGGGACGCCTGTGGCACACTGCTAAACCAGCCGACCCAAGTCTGCCCCCAAGACCAGCGGACACCAGGCGCCTGGTGCCAGGACACGTCACCGACACCGCCTGCCCTCTGGGCCTTTCCCGCCACCGCGGGGCCCCGCCGGACAGGGCCCACGCACGGCTGGTCTGCATCCTTTTTTTCTTTATGTGACCTTGTGTGTTTGACTTTTTTTTTTTAGATTTTATTTATTTATTTATAGAGAGGGGAGGGAAGGAGAAAGAGAGAGAGAAACATCAATGTGCGGTTGCTGGGGGCCATGGCCTGCAACCCAGGCATGTGCCCTGACTGGGAATCGAACCTGGGACACTTTGGTTCACAGCCCGCGCTCCATCCACTGAGCTATGCCAGCCAAGTGGTCTGCATTCTTACAAAGCATCTATGCAGCAACGAAGGAGGAGGGGCCGATGGCTCCGAGGGAGAAGGCTCCAGAGGGGACGCAGCGTGTGGCCCCCGGTTAAACCCTGGACCCGAAGGTCAGTCTCCGAAGCACCACAACAGGATGAGCCTGGTGCTGGAGCCCAGTTTCCTGATGTTGGCTCCTACACTGTCACCACGTGACAGCCCTGGTTCTCAAGAACAAGGTATTGGCCCCTGGCTGGTGTGGCTCAGTGGACTGAGTGCCAGTCTGCAAATCAAAGGGTCGCTGGTTCGATTCCCAGTCAGGGCATGTGCCTGGGTTTCAGGCCAGGACCCCAGTAGAGGGCGCACGAGAGGCAACCACACATTGAAGTTTCTCTCCCTCTCTTTGTCCCTCCCTTCTCCTCTCTCTAGAAATAAATAAATAAAATCTTTAAAAAAAGAAAAAAAAGAACAAGGTATTGGAGGTGAAGGAGTGCGTTAGCTCCAACTTCTCTCAAATGCATCAGGAAGAACCACGTAGTCCGCACGCCGAGAGAGCAACCCGGCAAAAACTCCTGGCAGAGCGAGGACAAAGCTACCGGAGTCCTTGCGCTGTTCCGGCCATGTTTCTGCCACTTCAAACTCACTCCAAAAAAAAAAATAAACTAAAAGATGAAAAGCACCTTCCCCACCGTTTCCAGAAACTGGTGGGAAGCCACGGGCCTGTTACCTGATGCTCACATAACCCTGAGAGAGGTGCCGTTATTTCCACTCTCACGTGGGGAAACTGAGGCCCGGACAGACCAGGGGGCTCACCGAAGATCACGAGGCAGGACGTGGTGCAGCCGGGAGGGGAGCCCCAGGCCCACACACGCTCATGCCCAGCAGAGCACAGGGCCCCAGGGCGCCCGCCCGCTGCAGCCCAGCCACACCGGCTGCCTGGGCGGCGCTGGACACTCAGCCACCACCTGGCTCGCTCGGTGACCCTAGTGGACAGGTGCGCTGGTGGCTCTCCCCGCCTGCGCTGAGTTTCCCCAGGTGCAATACGAGGGTCATCTGGGTCCTTCTTTACCGATCAGCCCAAAGGACATGAAGTCAGCCCCGAGCAAGGAGCTCTTGTCTGGGTGGCGCTCAGGGCCAGGCAGAGGCCCTGGTCCGGAGCAGGGCTGCCAGGGCCACCGGGTGCCACGGAGATGCCTCCAGCGGCCCCGTCGGATGAACCCAACCGGCCTCCCGCCCCGAGGCCCAGGGAGAAGGCGAGCTGAAGCAGGCAGGCGGGCGGGCGTCTCCTCCTCCGCTCTCGCCGCAGGCGTGTGCGTGTAACGGTGTCTCCGTGCACATCCTTGCAAGCACGACACGTCAGGAAGGTGAACCATCACAGGAGAAAAGGCCTTTCCCGTTCCATCTCGGGGAAGAACAAAAAAATCGGCCCCTGAGCCCACGGGAGGCAGCCGTGGGAGTCAGTACCAGCACGGCGCGGGCAGCCTCCGTGGCGTTTCGGGGTCGCCCTGCGCCACGAGGCCTCCAGAGGCGGCCGACGGCAGGCCACTCTGGGGACAGCGGGGAGACGGCTTCAGACCCGGCTGGACCACACACAGCCCTCACGCCTGCCCACGTGTCTGCACTCAGAAGGGGCAGGTGGGCCTGAGCTGGGAGACCCCGGGACGCCCCGTGAAGGCGCTGAGGGTGGGTTTTCCCACCTGTGAAATGGAGGTGGTCACACACACAGAGATGTCCCTGCAGCCAGAATCGACCGCCTGGACACAACCACGGGGTGGTTGGGGGCAAGACAAACACCTCACACAGCAACCCTAGAGCCGCCCCCCCCCAAGCCAGATGCCGGCAGGCACTCAGCACCCCTAATTCTGGCTCCCAGACCACCTTCCCTCGGCAGTGGGTGCCAGGCTCACTGTGGAGCGAGGCTCTTAGACATCCAGCAGGCCCTGGCCAGGCCCTTCTTCCACGGGGACGGTCAGAGGCCGTTGAATGAGGGTTCGAAGGAGAGGCCTGCTCTCAGGGGGCCCAGGGAGGGGCCCAGCCACTCACAGCAGGCCCCTCCCGCCACCCCACCCCCCAGCCTGGAGAAAGGTCACACTGGCAGGGAAGTGGCCACTGTGCTGGTCGCACACCCCCCACTGGGCGCAGTCTGGTTCATCGACAGCCGCAGCCCAGCTCTGCCCTGATGCTGGAGCCCACGGAGCCTGAGACCCCGTCTGCAGGAGGGAGCCAAGATCCAGAGAGGGCTCGAACCCCCCGAACCCCCCAGGGAGTCACAGAGCCAGGGTGAGAAGCCCAGCCCAGGGCCTGCCCACCGACCACCGGCCCCAGGGGCATTCCAGCTACAGTGGAAGGGCCAACTGCTCCCCCAGCCCTGGGCCAAAGAGCTTTGTGGGGAGATAGCCATGCTCCCCGGAGCCACCTCCACTGGCCACGTCCTGCTGCAGCCACAGGCCAGAGCCCTCCGTCCAGCCAAGGCAACTCACTCACTGTACGCACCATCGAGGGCCGGCCCGCCCCTGCCTCCACCCCCAAGGCTGTGTGGCCCCGGCCTGCACAGTGAGCTGGGCCAGGGGGCCTCTGCCCCGGTTCTCAGCTCCAGGCAAGGCCCTCCTGCCCTGAGGCCCACACAGCCTGGTCCTCGAATAGCTGACCGCGCCCGGGCTGGACACCAGGACAGACTCCCCTGCCCACCCTTACGCGTCTCCCGGGAAAAGGTTTGCCAAGGGGGGGGCGCTGCTCTTTCCACAGAGCCCAAGCGCCGCTGAGTGCCAAGTTCCCCACGGGGCACCGAGGTCCCGCTGCACGCAGACATGACAGCACTGACCTCCCAGAGGTGGGTGCCCGGGCCTCCCAACGGGCTGCTAGTACGAGACGGCTGCGGTCCCCTTGGGCCCCAGGCCAGACGAACCTCTGGGGAGGCAGATGCGAGAGGAGCCCACCCCAGACCCGAAGTCGGGGCAGGGGGACCCCGGAGCCTGGGCCTGGCCCCCAAGCACGAGAGGAGCGAAGCAAAGGGAGGAAGGAAGGCTTATTCCGCACCCCCCGCCCTGGGCACCGGTCTGTGAGGGCCACCCCCGCCCAGCCTCCGAATTCAGGGATCACAGGGATGGAGAGGCCTGGGGGGGCAGGTGGCCCGGGCCGCCCTCCTGGGGGTGCAGGCGCCGCCACTCCCCAACAGGAGGTGGGGCTCGGGCCTGCGGCTCCCGAGCGGCATCAGGAGGCCGTGCCCGCCGAGGCTTCCCCCGGAGAAGCAGCCGTGGCCGAGGATGACCTTCCCACGCTGCCGCCTCTGCTGCTACGACGGGCAGAGCTGCGCCCCGGCGCGTCTGGCTCGGAGATCGGGCCGGCACGAGCTTGGGCGCGTTACTCCGGCAACCAGGGCGCGCTGACAGCACCCCATTCACTGGGCTTGAAAAGGCGGTCGGCGGGGAAGAGGCCCAGGGCCGCCAGATCTCCTAACAGCCTCGGCCCGCCCCGGAGCCCCGGGGCCCACGGCTGTCCCAAGGGGCAGACCCAGGACAGAAGCTCCGTGGGCACTGCCTCCATGTAGGGGCCCTGGACGCAGGTTCCAACGATAAGGGCCGGCCCTGGAGCTCCCGCAGCAAAGGGCAGGGGACCGGAGGGGTGCCCACAGATGGGGGTGCTGCCCACAGATGGGGGTGCTGCCCACAGACTGGGGTGGCGCCCACAGCTGCCCGCTGCACACACCCTCTGAGGGCTGGGCTGCGCCAGGGCAGCAAGACCCCACCTTCAGGCCCTGCCGAGTCCTGCATCCCACGGACTCCCTCTGCCCTGCCCCACCCCCACATCCCAGCACGTCCACGCCGGAGCCCCCCAGAGTCGAGAAGCTGCCTTGGACACGCCCGTGTCTCCGGGAGGACTACCGAGGCCCGGATGAGGGAGCTGCATGGATGGTCACATGGGCACCGCTGGGGACCGGCACTCCCAGGCTGCGGGCTCCGTGATGGGACTCTCGGCCGGGCAGGGACCGGAGGTGGTGGTGGGGAGTCCGCCCAGCCTGGAGACCCGCACGCTCCGGCACACGCTGAGGCCGCAGAAACGTCGGTGGGGAGGAGGGAAGGATGCACAGGTGGGGTGAGGACGGAGGGTAGGACGGAGGGGACGTGTACCTGTCCCCGCCTTGGGACTTCGGCACCTGACCACCCCCGAGTTAGCGCTTTCCCAACCGTGGAAGAGTCATTTGGCCGCAGGGTTGGTGAGATTACGTGAAACTCACTTCGCAGGACAGTGTGTGGCAGCCCGGTGTGGTGCCGGACCCCGGCGACATTTCCGCTCCCTCCTCCCCCCTCTGCTGGGCCACCTGGGCACAGAGCCCCTGGCCCGGCCTCCTGCTTCCTCCATCTCCATCCTTCCCCAGAAAGGCCCCCCAGAGCCAGCCCCACGAGGGTGAGGACGCACTGCTCCACGGTCCCCGCGGCTCCTGGGGAAGGCCCCCGTTCCAGAAGACAACGGTGCGGTTTGGGCAGGAGGCAATGGCACTCCCCGGCAGGCCGGCCCGCTGCCCCCAGGCCCGGGCAGCCGTGTGCCCAGGCAGGTGCACAGAGCCGGAGATGCTCCGGCCAGCCAGGGGCCAGGCCTCAGGCTCTGCTCCCAACTCGTCTCTGCTGCCCTTGACTTTGTCCCCGCTCCGGCGTCCCTACTGTCACTCTGGCCAGAGGGCAGGGGCAGACCAGCTCCACCTCCACCCCCACCCCCACGAGCCTCTCCCAGTGCCTCTGAGCCCTAGAAGGGGAGTGATATCCCCCTGGGTGCGGGTGCACAGCGTGGGAGGTGGGCAGGCCACGAGATCGGACAGGCTGAGCCAGCCCCCGAGGAGGGGTGGCCCCGGCACGGCCGCGGCACCGCAGCGGCACCACAGCCGGGGGGAGAACCAGTGCTGCCTGCCCCGGGAGACGCCGTCCGAAACCCACCTGGGTCAGCCAGACTCAAGGGCGGAAAACGGTTCATCCAGGAGGGGCTTTGCCGGCACCGGGGGAACGTGTGTGCCCGAGATCAGCCCTGGGAACCAGAGATCGGGAAGGAGCCACCTCGTCCCCACACCCATGCCCACGCACGCGCACACACACACCTATGCCCTGCCTCTCTCCGGGGTCCTGACACTGAGGGAAACCAGCATCGAGCCGGGGAGCAGCCAAGGGGTCATTTGTTTTAATTATTAAAACAGCGGCCACTCACTCCGGGCCATCCATAACGCCGCTTAATTACCCACCACGTACACCCGCCTGTGCATCTGAGCAGAGCCATAAATCAGCCCACAGTCAGAGCTGTTTAGAGCGTTCTGGCCAGAGACGCGGGGGGAGGGAGTCACCCCTCGCTCCTGCCCAGAAGCGATAAACCAGATCTCGGCGCTGAAGCCCCGGCCGCAGCGCAGCGAACACGCCAGCATGGTGCGCGCCGGGGGGCCAGCGTCCTCCGCCGCTCGGCCGTCCGCTCCCCTCCCTGGGGGCCCCTACCCTGCCAGGCTCCATCCTTTATGTGGTCCACAATGGCCCCGCCAGATGGCGCGGCGTGGCCAGCGGCCTCTTCAAGCCAATCACTCATTCTGTCGGGCCCCAGCAGGGCTGTGGGCAGGACACCAGGGACCTGGCCCACGCCGCCTGCTCACCCCTGCCCTGCCTGC